AAGAATATCATGCGAGACCGTATCAAATGCCTTACTAAAGTCTAGGTTGCACACACTGCCAGTTGAGCCACAAAACAGAGGACTCCACTAATTGCTTGAGTCTGTTCTAGTATTGGACCATCAGACAAAAGCTGCTCAATGTCAAGACAAAATCAGTTTCCCAGTCTTAGCATAAACACTGAAAAGGAATGTTAGCTAACCTGACAATGATCTTTAATATCTGCTGAAAATAATTTGAGTACTAATTCAAAACTTAAGTCTTATTGCAGCGATGCAATATTCAGAGATTGATTTGATCTGTGTTGTGAAATTTCAATATGGCAGACAATGTTAAAATTGAACCAAAAACTATTACATTTCACTTCCCCAACTCCTACAGTACTTTAAAAAAAAAAAAAAAGAGTGGTCACTTTTTTTGTGGGGGGAAGCAATATGGAAGGTGACTTACAGAGGAAAGCGTCAGAATTTCCTCAATTTTAGTAGAGTTTGTTAAATGCCCCCTCTTCTCAGCCCAAAGGCCAGTAAGCATTTGTTTACACTTAGTTTAAGAAGTTTGGGTGCAGGGAAGAAAAATGTGTGAATGCCCTTTTCCTTGCTATTGGGGTATTCAGCACAAAGTTGAAATATTGCAAGAATATAGAGGTAACTCTTAAAAACCACTGCCGTAAAAATAATTTATAATCTTCTTTTGATTACATAATCTGTATTTCCAGCTTCAATGTCTCAATATCTGTTTTAATTATGGCAATTCCTTTTTTGGGGGTGGGGGGGGGTCCTAAGAAATTAGGATTTATCAAAAGAAAAACGTGAGACTTATCTTGTATTGCAGTAGCCCCTAAATGCCCCAATCAGGGATCAGGCCCATTATGCTAAGCACTGAATTTATGCAACAGAAACCAATTCTCTGCAGAGATCTTACAGTCTTAGCATATGAAATGAGAAAGCAGGTGGATACTTAGAGGGGAAAAAAGCTAGAATTTATATTTGCGAGACCTGCAGATCCGATTAGTTTGGTGATGGAAGTTAAAAATACTTTGTGAGAACTAAAGGACAACAATAATTTCCCCATGCTTAGTAGTATATTACCAAAGTGGCTGAACAGTAAGTTCTCCTCAATTCTCATGGTGCTATCACACAAGGTACCAGACCCTTAAGAAAGGCAGGAAACTGGTTAAAAAAAAGATAGTCAGGAAGAACCATTCAGAGGGAGATCAAGGATACCAGTGGATACATGGAAGGCAGAAAAATCAAGAAAGACTGCACTGGGAGAAAAGGAAGGTTTGGGATGCAGTTTGGTATGATCAAAAGAAAGCTTTCACCACAAGTAGATAGATATTGGCTGCAACAAAAGAAAGAAACATTCTTCAGAGGGTACAATCAACCCCCAAATTCATTTATCCAATTACTAGAGATGTTCGTATGGATAAGCAGGGCTTGAAAAATTTACCAGACTTCTACTCAGCCAGAAGACTAAGCCTACTAACCAAAAGTCAGTCACCTCAAAGTAGGGTTGCTAGGTATCCAGTTTTCGACCGGCACATCCGGTCAAAAAGGGACCCTGGGGGCTCCAGTCAGCACCGCCAAATGGGCCATTAAAAGTCTGGTTGGTGGCACAGCAGGGGCCCAGAACTAAGGCAGGCTCTTTACCTGCCTTGGTTCTGCGTGGCTCCCAGAAGTGGACGCCAGGTGCCTGAGGCAGCCAGGGAGGCTCTACGCACTGCTCCCGCCCCGAGGGCCAG